TTACCAGTTTCAAAAAGATATCTATACATTTTATTGGTATATATATATTTGTATATTGAAAAGAAAAACAAAATGTCGACTGATGCCGATCTAACAACCACTATTAATTATGTCACGATGCAGATTAATCGTCATGCAGTTACAATCTTGATTCTCTTTGGTACAGTCGGGAATATACTTAATATTTGTGTTCTTACTGAGAATACTTTACGTAAAATTCCTTGTGCAATCTATCTTTGTTGGTCTTCGGTATCAGCTTTGGTCTTTATATGGTCAGGATTATTAACACGAGTTTTACAAGGGTAAGTTGTACATAAATCATATAGTACCTATCAAGTGAGAAATATTTTGAAAGTTTCAGTAGTTTATTGTTATTCCAAAGGAGTTTAAATCTAAACAGTTCTCATTACACATAAAGGATTAAATTGAACATTTTTATGTCTTATTTCTTTTTTGAATTAATTTCTAGTTATAATGTCAATTGGCCTAATCAAAATCCATATATGTGTAAAATTCGTCTATTTTTGCTTAGCGTCAGCTGGGCCATGGCTGCTTGGGCTCTTGTTGGAGCAAGTATGGATCGATTCTTATGTAGTAATCATTCAGCTATTTATCGTGGATGGAGCACATGTCGAACAGCAAAACGTTATTTGATCGGAATTCTTACTTTCTTTGTATTGTTATTTGCTCAAGTATTCTATTGCTTTGAGGCAAGTGTTCCAAATGTTCCTGTTGCATGCTATGGCCGTGATCTTCCTTGTCGAATCTTTAACGATTGGATAAGCATATCAGTTGATATTGTTATACCAAGTATCTTCTTAGCTGTTTTTGGCACATTAACTATTCGCAATGCTCGACCACGAGTCGTTCATCCACGAATAAGTTCAATTCAAGTAGCTATTGCAAGTAATATTAATAATAACAATAATAATGCAGCACCATCCCGAAATAATGATCGTAATCTTACTCGAATGTTATTAATTCAAGTGAGTTTAATTAGTTTTTTCCTTGACTTTACTAGCGAAATGTAATTGTGAGAGACATGAAAATTTTTAAATGAATTTTTTAGGTATGCATTGTTTTTGTTTTGGATTTACCATTTGGAGTTTATCGTGCATATGCCAGTCTAACAGCCAATGTTTCGAAAAGTACATATCGTACAGCTACTGAAAATTTAACATATGCTGTAGTTATACTACTTGTCTATTTTACTCATTCAACTTCATTTTATTTGTACACACTCACTGGTACACTTTATCGTGCAACATTCAAACGTATCAGAGATCGTTGTTTCAATCGAGGGCAAAGAATGCATTAATATTTGAACAAATTTTTCTGTCGTTATTATTGTTGTTTGTAAACCTTCCTTGTCACCATAATCCTATCCTATTGAAATCAACAGACCCATGCTTTATTATTGCAATTTTATTTCCATTTTTCACCATTATATTCGTTTCTAGTTATTAAATAAACAAAAGAATTATAAAAAAAATATTTCTTTTTATATACATATATAATTAAAAAACATAAAAAGATTAACATATGGAAATCCTTTTTGTTTTTTAATTAATTATTTCATTTAGTTCATGCACTCAAATTACATTGTTGCAATAGTTCTTTTTTTATTACTTTCTAATTAAAAAATATTTTTATCATCCCTAGAAAAATATGATTATTATGATGAATAAATCTTTTATCATTTACAGAAAAAAAGAATCTTTTGTCACGCATGCCATTTTATTTAACTATTTATATAATATGATTCTGATGTGTGTCGTGACAAAAAGATAATGAGATAAATTTTACTGTTTGACGTTTACATGCAACAGTCTTGTAGCGTATCAAAGGTTTTATATACGATCATCAGAAATGTTTTGCGAATAATTATAACATCGCAATTAAATTAATCTGTCGATATATAAAAATATTTTTCTAAGAAGAATATGAACGGAATGTAATGGTTGTTGATATATTAAAACTTTTATTTGATTTTGGAATTTTGCTGTACACTTGATAAAAGAATCAACTGTTTGAGAATAGAAACGAGAAAGATGAATCATTCCTGGAATTTTGAGAACGACGATTTATTGAATGCAATGAGTGTTATCATTTTTCTAACGAGAGAACTATTCTAACTGATTTCGACCTTTTAATTTCACCTTTTGACTATAATTAGACCTCAATGGGACTAAAAAATCCCTATATGCGTTTGTTCCCATAGTCCTTCGTTCCAGAGATGTGTGTTTTTATAAAATCAGTGTTTACGTATTGTCTAATTAGTTTGAAAATCAAAGTATATCAGAAAAATGAATCAATCACAATCATTGAACTATCTAATATTTGAATCTTCAACTAAACTGAATTATGAAAACTAAAACTTCAACAATAACAATCTTCTAAATGCACCAAAAACACAAAATATTCAAGTTATATATCTTGAGAGTATGGATGTAATCTGAAACTTCATCTCATAATCACATCTATACAAACACACACATTCATCGTGCTTTATATTTATGAATTATTCACTTCTTCCTACGTCACCTTTTTTGTTTCTTCGATTCTTTTTTTTTTAATTTTCTTTTTCTTTTAAAAAGTGTCTTTCACTCCCTTTCTAAATTCATTTTTTCTTATCATTTATTGTGCTTCGAAATATAATGAAAAGTCTCGAAGAGTATTTTAAATTCGAAACAAATAGCAGACAGCTTTTGTCCTTTTTTAAAAAGATACGTAGATGCGTCTTGAATACAAATAAAGTTTCACTTCCATTCATAATGAATGTTAATAAATATAAGAGCAACATAAAACAGGATTGAAAATGAAAGAGAAACGATGTTGCAGGTGTCTGTTTAATGTATAGAGGATGAGAAAAAAATCTATAAAATACAACAGTTACAATCTTTAAGAAAATGGTTTGCTTGATTTTGATGAATAAGCAAAATCACTTTTATATAATAATAAAATAAAATAGAAACTTTATTTTCAACCTTAAATTTATCTAGTTTTTGCATTCAGAGATATATATATATATCAAAATGATCAAACTAGAATCAATTATCACAAAAGATATAAACACAAATATGCTGTTTTTGATGGAATTTGTAGACATAACTTCGTCTATTGTAGTATCAGAATCATATGAAAATAGAATTGACGTTTAAATTGTTGTTGTCATTACCTACGTTTATTACATGTAAAATAAATTTAAAAAGTCTTTTTGTTTTACTTTCTCTGATATTCTAAATATGATAAAGTAATTTCTTGACTATCAAAGTTTTTTCTTCTCTTTCATTTTAAAAAGAGCCCAGCTATTTATTTTATTGTCGACTACAAATATCAACGATGAAAACCATCTCAATTATACAAATTGTTATAGGAAACTAAAAGAATAGCATTCTTTTTATTCTTCATGGGATGTTTTTTTTGTCGTTGTCACATCTCTTGACTTGATAAAGTATAGTGTAGTTATGACTGAGCTTTTTCTTTTTGAAAATATTCCATTTTAAACGTATGCCGTTTTTTTTCTACTGATTAAATATTAAACTACAGAATGGTGAAGAAAAAAACGTAGTGATAGAAGCTATTCCGACAGTTGTAAGAATATTTTAGAGAGTAAAACAACAAAAAAATATGAGGTGGGCAATTGTTATTCTATTGTTATTTTCTGTTGGTAATTGTGTTAGAGTTGGTAAAATACAGAATTATATCGTGATTGGTATTATGAATAATTCTTTATTTAATATAACAGAAGAGCAATGTATATGTGAAATGGTAAAATTGAATGGATTTGTTTCTGCTGTAAATTATTTTGCAACAAATGAAACTTGTCAATTATTTAGTTTTGATATTAGTTCGATTTTAATAGCATTTAATTTAAACTCTTCGTTTCTATTTATTAATCAATCAACAATATCAATAACAGCGATTTCAACAAATAGTAAGTTTTACTCTAAATACCAGTTTTGACTATTACAATTTTAAGCACTATGGGCGCCGACTGAATTACTCCGGCTTACTCTATTGTGTTTGCTAGTACCTGTCTTTTATTTTTAAATTTAGTATATATAGCGAGAAAGACTAGAATGCGCTGTTTTTTTTTGTATATTTACATTGAACATTAAAGAATATGGGCAAAGAGTAACTGCAACATTGGTTCAAATACTTACAGTTACCCTGAATAATGATGCAATATTTATAGGTAGTTTCGATATGAAAATCTGTTTTGGCCACTGTATATATTAAAGCTAATGGTGGATAAGATGTGAAGAAATTTTTTATTTATTGTATATTTAGATACGTCGACGTCAGCGGCCAATACGATGTAAGATGCAACAATGTTTAGATGAGTATTAATGAGTTTCTTTTTTAAATTTAGCTCAACCAGTTCGCAATTGTCAACGGCGACCTCGTTGACTTCAATCTCTTCGACAACATCAAGCTCGACCTCCTCGACTTCATCAAGCTCAACTGCCTCGACAACATCAAGCTCGACTTCATCATCCTCAACCTCCGCAACATCGTCCACTTCTACCTCCTCGACGTCATTAAGCTCGACCTCCTCGACTTCATCAAGCTCAACCTCCGCGACAACGTCCACCTCTACCTCCTCAACATCATCAAGCTCAACAACCTCAACGACTTCAAGCTCGACTTCCGCAACATCTTCAACCTCTACCTCTTCGACAACCTCAAGCTCGACTACGTCTACCTCTACTTCCGCGACATCGTCCACCTCTACCTCCTCAACATCATCAAGCTCGACTTCTGCAACATCGTCCACCTCTACCTCTTCGACATCGTCAAGCTCAACCTCCGCAACATTGTCTACCTCTACTTCCTCGACATCCACGACAGCAACAACAACAACAGCAACTACAACAACAACAACTACGACCACCAGTAAGAAATAGAGAGAGAGATTAATGTTCTTTTATTTACCTCAACTTTTCTGTATCTTCATCGTTAGCCGTCGGCTGCTCAGCTTCAGACGCAATAACTCATGCTCCAGGTGGTCAAGGTGGCGAATCTGTTCTCTACACATTTGATCAAACACCAAATGATTATTACGGTAATTATAATGCCGTTCCAGTCAACAATCCACAATATATTTCTCCGGGATACAACGGAAGAGGATATGCTATACGGCTCCTTTCAAATAAATCACAGTATCTGACAATTGCTAACTATATGGATTTCTATAACACAAGTTTGACTGTTGAAGCATGGATCTATCCTTTGGCAGTCTTTATAAGTACAACATCATATGTTGATATGATTATCTATGCTCAAACAAATACTACAGCACAATATCAATATATGTGGATGATGTTAAAAAATGGCAAAAGTTACGGCACTTTTTTTTACGATGATATTTCGGGTTCAACTACGTTTCAAGTGAATCAATGGCAACATATAGCATTCACATATGATTATGCGACGACAACACAAGTTGTTTATATCAATGGAGTTGTAGGTAATGAATAACTGCCTCATTAGAGGTCGAAAAATATTTATATTATAGTTAGTCACTATTCAAGTTGAGAATTATTATAATTGTCATCCAGCTCTGTATACAATCTGTCATTATTTTATACAGCCCATTCCACCTTGACTTAGAGATATGTTCTTTGTATCTCATTTAGATCTTACAGTTAGTAAAGCCCTTGACTTGACCTATAAGTTATGAATATGCCACAAAATTATCTGTTTGACTTTTTTCATACTTAAATGTCAATTATTTTTGAGACTGTCTTAGGTACTAGAATTATCATTTTTATTTCAACTCAGATTACACAATTCATGAAAACGATAGAATGAAACGCTTTGAAATCACATGGTTGGTAAAAACGAGACTTCTGAAATATTTCAACAATAGATATGAATATTTATTATTTCATTTAAAAATATATCACATATAACCTTTTTCATTTTACTAGATGGTACAAATACACTAGCACCACCATGTTTAATCACATCTGGAATACAGACAATTGGCTCATATCCACCGATTTATAATGGTGGTTTTTTTGACGGCTATATTGATCAATTAGAGATTCTTTTCAACAGAGCAAAAACATCAGCTGAAATTTTAGATGATGCAACGTTAGTTGGATACTATTCAATGGATTGTCTAAGTTATCCATCTTGGGATAGTGGGCCTAATCAGATTACGGGTGTAGCAGTTGGATTGACGAGTGGTGATGGTGGACGTGTTGGACAATCTTATTTATTTAATACGACTTCAAGTTATTTTCAGATAACAGGATTAGTCTTATTAGGACAATCATACAGTCCATTTTCATTTGCAATGTGGGTAAGATCTATACTCTCCGTTACCAGTGGTGGTACAATTCTACATGTCTCCAGCAATGCCGACGGCACTGGCTGGTGTATTCCGTTCATTGGTTTAAATTCACAAGGACAGTTACTCGCACTTGGATATGATGGAAGAAGTACAGTTCAGGTTACCGGACCTGGCCTTGTAGTTGGTCAGTGGGTTCATATCGTTGAAACTTATAGTCAACTTAATGGAATACGTTTATATATTAATGGAATTTTGTATGGACAAACTAACGCATTTGTCTATAATGCATCGGGTGTACCAATGGCCGCCACTCTGGGCCAGTCATTGAAAGGAACTGGTTGTTATCATGGTGGAATTCAAATTGGTAATTATCGAGGAGAAATCGATGAATTTTATATTTATAGTAGAGAATTATCGCAGACGGATATAACAACTTTGGCGAATCCATAGAATGTAATTTTTTTGTTAAAATTTTATGAAATGTGGAGGATATTATCATGCATATACTTAACTTTAAACATTAGCTACTTTTCAACATATAAGACAATATAGCATCTTCTTTTATTCGTTTTATTGAGTCATATATATATATGATCAAATTTGCTTATTTCTTCTTGATCCTCCCAATATACATATATGCTTTGAAGTGTGTGTGTGTGTTATCGTTCGTTTTGCTTTTTCTGTTCATTCACATTCACTTTAAATAAATAAATAATCTTTACATAAAAACAGAATGAAATTTAGCATGAACTTACAGAGCTCAAGATAGAGAACAAGAGTTCTAACACTGAATACAAAATACAAGTCGCTCGAGCACTGTAGTCCAATTAGTATTAATTTATATAATAGTGAGTTTAAGGTTGCTGTGGGTGTGTGTGGTTGACTAGGTGTGTCGATAAAGAGAAGAGCTATCCATCCGCACTCACCCGACTGCGTAATGTTTTCTGGGACATATAAATGAAAGGAAAATTTTTAAGTTTCGATTAAAAGTGGTACTTTTTCCGAATAAAATTGACGTTGAAATTAAATAAAGTAGCGAGGATATACGAAAAAAACTTGTAGAAAGCTACTTTTGTGACACATTGTATATATATATGTATGAATTATTATTCGAGCAGAAGAAAATACTTTTCTTTCTGTATGATTGACACTTAGTTGAACAAAGATTTCTATCTTGACTAAACATAGAATATACTAATTCAGAAAAATATATATAATTGAGATTTTATCACAAACTAGAAGGATAAATAAATATTTGAAATAGTGCTCATAGAAAATATAAAATATGTTAATCACTGGATTAGAACACTTGTAAACATGCATTTTCGAGTTTTTTTACTAATTGCATAGATTCTTCGATAAATTTGCTTTTTTCATAGCAAAATATCTAAAAGTTACAGCTCTAGGGAATTTCAAATAAATCTAGAAATTCAGAAGAACATTCTTGTTCACTAATACTATTGACATGGTCAAAGTCACATTGAACTTTGTTAATATTACTTTGTGATCGTCTTATTCAAATCTTATCTATAATAATAATACTCTAAAAAAGAAAAAGATTTATTTTTAGAACTCACTAATTAATAAACTTAGCCTATCAGAAGCAAAAATTATTATTATAGATAAACGAAAAAACTGTTTTAGGGTTTGTAACTTCTGTAAGAGAACTGATATTTTCAAAAATAGTGAAAATATAATCAATTTTCTTGACCAACAATTGTCGAATGAAAATAATCAGAAAGAAACAGCAGTGCCATCTATCAATTTCATCGTTCACTTTTATATACTGTGTTTTCTTCCCACTGAAACTACAGCTGAACAAAAGTCTGCACTTTTAATGCTGAGTAGGGTCAAAATATCCGTACATGCACACCCTCAAAATGATCAAGTAACTTGACAATAATATGAAAAAATCTCTAGAAAATAATAGATTTATTTTTCAAAATCGATCAATCCCTGACGATGTAAAACTTTCTACAATTTATAAAAAATGATAATATCCTTTTGTTACCACTATATTATGATCTATTGAATGACGTTCTAGTTTTTGTTATTTCAATCTTTTTTTACTAATAAAATGTTGTTTTTTTTCTTTCTAAAATCCTATCGAACAAAAAAAAAGTTGATGAGTGGAAAAAATTAATTAATTATTCTCAAGCTCTCAACAAAATGTGATCAAAGCGTTATTTCAGAAGAGAATAATTAATGTGATTTAACTCGACAATCTAAAAAGTGCTAAACATCACAGAACAACAAATTCAGTTAATGTCAAATAGTTATTTATATCAGAATATTTTTTGAATAAGACAGAAATAATTTTATTGGCGGTGAACTTCCTAGGTACGTGATTCGAAATTTTGTTAAAAATTACTTCATAAATAACAACACATGTATTAATTTAACACAACATCCGATGTTTACTACAATTAAAATATGACATATTTTCCTCTACGACTTGTATTATTTTTCTCATTCTTCGTCGTACCTATTTTTTATCTGATAAAACCATAAAATATATTGAAAGAACGCAAAATCCCTGTATTATCATATAATATGGTCTTCTGACGATGATTATAATTAACATAATACAATCTAAATGTTAGAATGTTTCAAAAGCCTGATTACTATTCAATTTCTTACCATTCATCGCTTTCAAGGATTTCCTTTTATAACACTTTATAGTAACAAGAATAAAATATAATTAACACTGTGTGATCCAGTCAAACGTGTCGTTTAATACAAGATTACTAACTAACTAGTTCTTCTTTTTTTTGTCTCTTTTACCTTTACCTTTTTTCATTAATGTCATTCTCTTCCTTAGATTTTATTATTTAAAAAAAGAAATGTTATTTTTCTCTTGTCTATATAAGCGAGCAGTTTCTGTAAGAATCAGTCAAGCGTTTTTAACTAGGAATGTTAATTTATCTTTATTTTTAAAATAAAGAATAAAAATAATTTTCTCATGCAATGAGTGCATATGCAAATATCCTGTATAACAACAGAGTACGTTGATTAATGCTCTTTCTTATCATCATCATCATCATTTCTATATGCCATATCATAATAAAAAAAGGATCACTTAAGAAACAGTATATACGAAAAATACTATTCCATATTATAGTTAACTATATAATATCATAGTTTTTTGTGAGTTACTCTAAGAAAATAAAAAAGGTACGTTTCGATAGAAAAAAAATCTTTATTCTTTATTTTAGAAATATAAAGATAAAGTAACATTCCTATTTTTAACAACGTTACATTCATCTTTTGTGAGTTAAGTTGCGTAAATCTTATCGTATTGTAAACAAACTAACTGGTTCTTCATTTTCATAGTTTAGATTAAAACACGTCTGTCGACAAAAGAAACTGTTAGAATGCCTTCTAACTATACAACTAGTTAATATAAAACCTGAGGAAAAAACATCTTAAGAAAGCTTGTAGATTATACACAGTGTTTTACTCTGCTATTGCTAATAACCATTCTAGTATATGAGTGCCACAAGTTTTTTGAAATCTTGAGAGCAATATCTGTAAGCTTGGAGTTCTATATAGCAGTAAATGACATAAGAGAAGTCGAATTGGGATAATTAATTACTATTTTTATTTTCAACGTTTCATAATTTCTGTCAATGACAGCTTCTATTATAATGAAAAAATTAGACGAGGTTCATGTGAGTGTATTTCTTCTCGCAATCGTCACCCACGTTACTCATGTTTTTTTTCACAGTGCATTTGATAAAGTACGCATATTGCTATATAAAATTCATGCAGCTATCAATATGAGAATTTATGCCACTCTTCCGGAAGTTTACATATTATGAATTGAAATGCCATCACTATTTCTAACAAATAACGTCATAAAAACATTCTGAATACTGCATTACTATCATATAGATTCAACAAAAAACAAATTACGATAATACTAGCATATCATTAAAATGTCTTCAGCATCGTTGACCGTCGTTCTTTCTGGCGTTCAACAACAACTGATTCGCTATGTATATTCGATTTGGCTTATTTTCGGCGTGCCTGGATGTATTCTGGATGCTATTATTTTTTCTCGTCGTCGATTACGCAAAATTTCATGTTGCAATTGTAAGTATGAATTTTAAATTCGATTTTGATAGTGAGCCTGTGTAGTACTGTTCTGAGATAAAAACGTGAAGACATAGGTCGAACAAATAAACAATACACTTTCTAGTTCAGATAGAATTCATATTTTCTTAATTATATGATCATAATCTTGTAATGTTTTATCAAGTTCTTACTTGAAAACATGATTTAAAATACTTCGATCAGCCAGTGAGATAGAACAAGACGTAGACTTTCTAAACACATTGTCGTTTATATAAAGATATAATCATTTTTCTAATCTTGGAATATTCTTGTTCAAGCTACAGAAGGTCTCCAGTCAGAGAAACATGAGATACAAAGAAAATGTACAATTTATAAAGCATACGTGAGAAGTTTTATTTGAACTTACTGCAGTTTGTTTTTCAAGAAAAACTTCATATTTCGTTGTTTATAGATTTTTTCGCAGCATCTATCAGTAATTTGGCTACTCTGATTGTTGGGGTTGGACCAGTAGTCTACAGTCTGGATTATCCTGATCTATTAACACACTCACTTTATTTTTGCAAGATACGTGGTTATTTATTCCAGATTGGTTTGATGGTCTCTCGTTGGTTCGTAGTTTTTGCCTGTATCGATCGCTATACACAGAGTTCAGACAACGCTCGTCTGCGCAACTTCGCAAGTGCACGAATGTCGATTCGTTCGATTATTGGGATCATAATCTTCTGGTCCATTATTTGTACTCATCGACTCATATTTTACGAGATCAAAGGAACTATATGTGGTATTGTAACCAGCTTTGGAGCGGCACTCTACCATGCTCTCTATGTTACTATAGGAGGTGGTATTCTTCCGGCAGGAATTATGATTGGATGTGCTCTTCTTATCCGTCGTAATCTCGCTCGCAAACGACAAAGACGTCAGCAACAAGTCACTACTGTGGCTTCTAGAGAACATGGACACCAGAAGCGTTCACTTGATCATCAAGTTCTCAACTTATTACTCATACAGAGCGCTTGTTATATTGTTCTAACAACACCACAAGTGGTTAATTTACTTTACAGTACAGCGTCAAGCACTATACCCAACAGAACGGCTGATACTTTGGCCATCAATGGACTTCTTGCTTTTGTGGCTGAATTGATGCTATACATATTTCCTGTTGCATCTTTCTATTTATACACACTGACTGCACGTACTTTTCGAGGAGAACTCATCAAAGTTTCCCGTTCATTACCAATTCCCGGCATGAGGTGTGGGGCTATTCAAATTGCACCAGTGGATGACGATAGCCTTGCAACGCATCCTCGTCGAAAGACGCACGTATTAGACGAATAAGCAGAAGCAAATCTACTGGCAGCACAATATTCTCCTCCCTTCCTAATTTACTTTTGCGAAGTTCCTCCATTTTTAGAATTTGACTATCTAGAGACACGCAACTAATCTTTCTACAGAATCTGGTCATCGTGAGCATTTGATCTTTACTCAAATTACTATCTTTGATATACCTTCCTCTTTGTTTTTGCATGATTGTCGATTCTTGTTTTCTACATACGTATATGCACACATTGAGAGAAAACTCGATTGATACAATATTTTAAAATGCTTGATGATGAATGAATGATGATCTCGCTGCTCCCATATTTACTTTTTTACCCTCACCTGCTAATTGTCAACCATTTTTTTCTTTTAAAAATTCTCACTCAAATATATGTCAATACATTATTATTTGCTTCTTCAATAAAGGAAGAGTCACTAATCTTTTCGTGAAGTCATTAACAGAGTTGTTCAAAATAAAAATAGTAACGCTACACGGTCAGCAAGAAAAAACTAATAGAACGTTATGATTTATCAGCTACTATTTTATGCATCAGCTAGGAAATATAGTTCTTCTATTTAATATTCTATTCAGACAAGATATACAATATTATCATACACTAAAATATCTACTAGCATATTCGTAGTCTTTAAACAAAAATGAGTATCATGAATTCATGTAACACTAAACTATCAAAATTTTAAATAGGATCGTTGGTTTTTTCGATAGGAGAATTGATTAACATCGTATTGGAAAAGGAAAACAATAGTTTTAGGTAAAGATAAGTCTGACGATCACTTTGTGTATATTTGTTAGAGTTAGATAATTATTTTTATTGTACAAAATAGTAATTAAACAGAGAATTAATATGATCAGCGCATTCAATAAGAAGAACAAAAATTAACAAACATACTAAACAGATGATATATGAGAAATACTGACAAAATAAAATGAAAAGCAAGATAGACTAAATGTGTTCTTATACATATTTTAACAATATAATAAATACACAACCGAAACCAATCAAAGAATAAAAAAGAAAATTCTCATAATTTTTTATTATGTCAGAAATAAATCAATAAGTTAAAGATGAGTTCATTGTTCGACTAGATCAACAATTCAGTGTTTATGTGTATCAAACTCAATATTATCTAGATATAGACATCTCAAGATGATCGAATGTGCACAATGCAAGGATATTCATACTATTTTAAAAATAATATATTTTTATTTTATAAAATGAAAATCATCGCAAAAAATGAATCATATCTATATTTATGTATTCAATTATTCAATAGTCTTTTTCTTTCATTCATCATCACTTTAGTATCTCCCTCTTTTCAATAGTTAAATTTAACTTTCTACTTAAAAACACTCATGAACCAGACTACTCTATTTTATTTATGACTCATTTTTTACATTCTATTAAATACTTTCTTCAAACATAACTAAAAACAATATACATAGTGATAGCAACTTTTCTTTTTTACAGAAGCCAAAGATTATTCTTTTTTTTTAGTAGAATTTTATTCTCTCTTGATTTATTGTTCGATCGTAATGTTTACTTTCTCTTCACTTTATAAAACAAAAAGTATAAGAATGAAAAAAAAAACGTGTACGATTGTATCCATCGATGATTTTTTTTTTCTTTTGTACCTGCTCGAAAAGAAAAAAAATGTCGCTTCTACTTAACGTTCGATTTATAACTATACACATCATTTTTATTTTTACTCTTTGCAAGCAACTACCAAATAACGTAATATTCGATAACAATGAGCACACATGGTACTTTACAAGTAACAATTGTTGAAGGTCGTAATTTGAAAGATAAGGATATTGTCGGTAAAGATGATGCATATGTTGAACTTTATTTGGATAAAGATTATAAACAACGAACGACAACAGCCAAAGATACCAATAGTCCAACATGGAATCAAACTTTTACATTGTTTGTAGCTTTTTTTGGCTGTTTCATTTTGATTTTATTCTTTTTTTTAGTCAGTTACGCAAACATCAAGATGAATTACATTTACATGTCTATGATGATGATGTCGTTGGTCGAGATTCAATTGGTTCAAAAACAATTAATTTGAAGAAACATGTCTTCGGCAAAGGTGTATACGATGCTTGGGTTAAATTACCCGCTCATTTAGGTCTTGGTTCACATGGTGAAGTTCATGTTATCATTCAACATAGTGTAAATAAAATTATTTCATAATATGCATTTATGATTTGTTTATTTTTCTAGCCTTGAATGATTCATTGACAACGAAACTCAATAATAAAGACATTGAATTATTCATTTTTTTTAAATTTGTTTTATTAAAATTTTCTTTATGTAAATCAATAAATTCTATATTAATCTCGCTTGAATTAGAATATTTGTTGTCTATACTCTGAATAGAAGATAAAATTGCTGAAAAAAAATTATTTTGCTACTTTTATCGAGGATATGGGTAAGACTGTCAATATCAGTTAATTATAACTCTCAAGATAAATAATGAAATGAAATTCACTCGTTCGTAACAATGAATATTAAGAATTACTGGACTGTAGCAGAATTATAATTTATTCATAATGATTAACATCATTGTTTATTCTGAAACAAGATTAAGCTTAAAAAGTGTTGAAAGTTAATCGTTGCCAAATGAAAAGCTGTGTATTAACATATGCTTATCTCACACTCTTATTCTTGAAAATAACGAAATAACTAAATTATGTTAAACTATTCTTGTTGATATAAAATATTTGTTGCTTTTGAGTCGTATTAATTTATTATAAATGTGTAACTAGGTTTTACCTTTTAATACTTTATTTATTAAATTGTAATATTTTTAAATATTTTAGACAAGTTTGTGCGCTCTAGAATCGAATATTTAATCTCATATTATAATTTTGATTGTAATCTAGAATTTAATATTATCACATCCATAAATATTGAAATAATAATAGAGAATATCTCTATCAATAATTAATGATAATTTTCGTCATGCAAGAAAATATCGTCAGAATGATAAGTAAGAAATATTTTCATTTATCTTTAAAAAATTCCAACATTATATAGGTTTGAATAAATCAACCGAAGATGAAATACAAGAAAAAAGAGATGTAATAATGCGTTCAAAATATTTTCATCCAATTGAATATTTTCCAGAGAAAATTGATCAATTATTAGATGCACTCAATCGAGTAAGTCTTCCATATGGTATATTGCTATTAGTATTATTCATTTATAGATTTATATTGATCAAAAATATCGACAAAATCAGTTTTAATCTGGTTAATTACACTAAAAATGATAAACTTTAAAGACTCATTGTTTAAATATGTTTGTTCTCAATATTATTTTATCATACTTAATCTTTTATTCTTATATTCAATGAATATTGTTGTGCAATGTAATAAATTGTCGTTCGTCACTTACAGTAAAAACTCTCTTAATATATACTTCTTAACTCTGTTCTTTACAATAATGAGAAACTTTTCATAGTGAATAGTTCTGAAAATAAGAAGTTACTGAAGAAAATCTTTATATTATTAATTATCATAATTATCAAATTCAAAACTTTCTATTAATAAAAATTGAATTATTTTCTCTTAAAATTAAATTAAAATGAATAAAAGTTTTAATTCTGCGCCGTTTGTATTAGACTTTTCTTTCTATAAGACTTATACTGAAATTTTATTATTAAAAAGAAAGTAAAAATATTTAATATGAACGTATAATCGAAGAATAAAAAAAGAACAGAGCAAAAAAGAAGAAAATTAGCAGGTCTGTAAAAAAACATTTAAATTATCAGTACCATTATTTGCAACAACAAAATCCAACTTTCTATCGCTATTAAAATCACCGACAACAACAGAAAATGGATGAGAACCATATGCCATCGAAAATAGCGTTATACTATCAAATGTACCGTTACCCAGTCCAAAAAAGACACCTAACTTGTTGTTATTATAATTAACTACAACAATATCAAGTTTATTGTCATTATTAAAATAACCAACAGCGATAGAGTAAGGAGATGAAGATGAACCAGTTGAATATGATGTCTGATTTGCAAATTTGCCATTACCATATCCCAAGAAAATGCTTATTGTATCGGATTCATAATTAGCAGTAACAATATCTAGTTGAGTATCATTATTGAAATCGCCAATTGCTAAAAAATATGGAGTTGAATTTGAACCAGTTGAATATGTAGTTTGATTTGTAAAAGTAATATTTCCATATCCAAGAAAAATACCAATATTATTAGTACCTGAATTGGCTACTCCAACATCCATTTTATTATCATTATTAAAATCACCAACAACAATAGACCGTGATTGAGAATTTTGACCAGTAGAAACTACCATTTGCTTTACAAAAACTTGATTAAGACAACCAAATAGTATCATAACATTGTTATCACCAAAATTTGTGACAACTACATCAAGTTGTGTATCATTGTTAAAATCACCAACAGCTAAAGATTGTGGATTAACGCCTGTTGAATATGGAATTTGAGGTGCAAAACTGCCATTACCATATCCTAATAACACACACACATAATTGCTACCTCTATTTGTGACAATGATATCTAATTTAGCGTCATTATTGATATCAACAACAGCTAAACAATATGGGAGAATGGCCACGGAATATTTCGTAAAGTTTGCAAAAGAACGATTTCCATATCCCAAAAGAATACTCACTGTTCGAAAACCAATGGTAGCAACAACGATATCCAATATAGTGTCATTATTGACATCACCAACAGCTACAAATTGAGGATGACTATCAGTTGGAAAAGTCATTTGATTTATAAAGGAACCATTCCCATATCCAAAAAAGATACCTACAGTATTAGAACCATCATTTGTAACAACTATATCTAACCAACCATCATTGTTAAAATCGACAACTGCTACAGAGCTTGGATTAGTACCAGTTGCATATGTTGTTTGATTAGCAAACGAACCATTGCCAAATCCCAGAAAAACACCAGTATTATTGCTACCATAATTGGCAACAACTAAATCTAATTGAGTATCGTTATTAAAATCTCCAACAGCTACAGAAAATGGATTAGTACCCGTTGGAAAAGTCGTTTGATTTCCAAACGAACCATTAACATTTCCCAGGAAGATATTAATATTATTGCTACCATAGTTAGCAACAACTAGGTCCAACTGACCATCATTATTGAAATCACCTGCAGCCAGGGATCGTGGTTTAGTACCAGTTGGATATATCGTTTGATTTGCAAATGAACCGTTGCCATACCCCAGGTAGACACTTATAGTATCACTACCATAATTGGTAACAACTAAATCCAACTGATTATCTTTGTTAAAGTCATTCACTACTACAAAGTATGGACTGGAGCCAGTTGGATAGATCGTTTGATTTGTAAAAGATCCACTATTATATGAAGTAAGAATATCAATAGTATCACCATGACCATATCCAACAACGATTTCTGATCGTCCATCATTATTAAAATCACCAGGCGAGATAGCTAGTGGAGGATATGCCAAAGGAGATTGATAAGTTGGTTGACTTATGAATGACTCTTGTCCATTTCCAAGTAACATTTGAACTTGCTTTGTACTAGAGGTAGCCACAGCGATATCTAATTGATTGTCACCGTTGAAATCACTCATGGTAATTACTGATGGTTGAGAATTTGAGGGCATCTTAATGAACACTTGACTTTTGAAAGTACCATTACCATTTCCAAAAACAATACCAACATTATTAGTGCCTGAATTGCTAACAATAATATCTAGTCGAGTATCATTGTTCACATCACTAACAACAATAGATTGCAAGTCAGAACCACCACCTGATGCATAACTGATTTCATGTACAAGAGCTCCACGATTATACTGTAGTAATATATAAACATATTTATCATCGTAACTTGGTACAACGATATCCAATCGGTTATCGTTGTTAAAGTCACCGATCGCTACGCAGTATCCTCTGGCACTAGCGTAATATGACATCTGGTTTCCAAAAGAACCATTTCCATACCCAAATAAAACATATACGTTGAGAACACCATAAAGACCAAAAACAACATCCAGATAAGTGTCATTATTGACATCGTCAACAGCTACATAATATGGAGGATTAGGTGTTCCATATGTGATTTGCGTTGCAAAGCTGCCATTACCATATCCAAGAATAATACCTATGTTATTGCTACCGTAGTTAGCAACAACTAGATCCAATTGACCATCATTATTGAAATCACCAACAGCCAGAGATTGTGGATACATACCAGCCGAATATTTCATTTGATTTGCAAAGGAACCATTACGATACCCCAGAAGAACACTCACACTACTACTATTATAATTAGCAACGACTAGATCTAATTGATTATCATTGTTAAAATCACCAACAACTACAGACTGTGAATAAGTGTCAGTTGCATATGTTATTTGATTTCCAAACGAACCATTGCCATAACCCAAAAGAACACTCACATTGTTGCTATTATAACTGGTAACAACTATATCTAGCTGACCATCATCATTAAAATCACCAACAGCCAGAGATCGTGGAAAAGTGCAAGTTGCATATGTTATCTGATCTTCAAAATAACTATTACCATGTCCCAGAAGAATACTCACATTGCTGTCATTATAATTAGCAACAGCTATATCCAAATAACTATCATTATTGAAATCGCTGACGACTACAAAATATGGAGAGGTACCAGTTGAATATGTGATTTGTCCTGCGAACGAACCATCACCATACCCAACAAGGACACTTATCGAATTATTATAATAGTTAGCACTAACTAAATCTAGTTTACTATCATTATTAAAATCACCAAGAGCTATATGAAATGGCAAATATCCAGTTGAATAATATTTGGGTAATGAAAAACCTTCGAAGTAACCCTTGAGAATATCTATGTTGTCAGTTTCATTATTAACAACGATAACATCCAATCGTTTGTCTTTGTTGAAATCACATATAGCAAATGAGATCGATGAAGTAGATCCAGTTGAATTCATTCTTGGATCAGAAAAAATACCGTCACCATGTCCAAGAAGTAAACCTGTATTATTAGCACCAATAGTAATAATGAATATGTCTAAATGATTGTCTTGATTGAAATCACCAACACCAATGGAGTATGGCGAACCAGAATTTATAGAATACTCCAGTTGATTTGCAAAAGTTCCATTATCATCGCCTAAAAATATACCTATCGTATTTGTTCCATGATTGGCAACAGCGATATCAACAAATGTATCATCATTGAAATTACCAACAGCTATTGATATTGGATGAGAACCATAACCAGTTGAAATAGTTATCTGTTCTTCAAAAGTACCATTCTTAGTAGCAAGAAACAGGCCAATATTGTTTGTTCCATAATTCACAATGGCAATGTCGATATAATTATCATTATTAAAATCACCAACAGCTAATGCATATGGAAGTGAGTCATAACCTGTTGAATACACTGTTGGATTCGAAAACATTCCATTTCCATAACCATAGAATATGCTTACACTACTGGTTCCAAAATTGACAGTGACAATATCAAGTATTGTATCATTATTGAGATCAACTAAACTAATTGATATTGGACGCGATGTACTGGTTGACAGATCTAGTTGATTTGTAAAAGATCCATTTCCATACCCAAGAAATATACGAATGGTATTACTGCCAAAATTTGCAACTGCAATATCTAATTGAGAATCATTGTTAAGATTACCAACGGAAACCATATAAGGACTGGAACCCAAACCAGTTGAATATTCGGTCTGTTTGATGAAAGTACCATTTTCATATCCAAAAAATATACCGATATTGTTAACAATCGAATTGGCAACTACCATATCTATCCAGGTGTCATTGTTGAAATCACCAACAGCAACAGATCGTGGACTATAGTTATACTCAATTGGATTTGTGGCTGTTCGTAAAATATTGAAGTCACATTTTGGTGCTAAATAATGCAATAAAAATTATCAATTAGAGGGAGATAAATCTATTTAGTTAAAATATATTTCTATTTTTTTTTGTTTGTCTGCTCTCATTTACTTCAATCAAAACTAATAGAGTAATGATTTAAATGTTATAAGACTTTACCCTGTGGTTTTGGTGTAGTAAAACAAACGATTAAGATGCCAGTTGTCATTACAATACATGTAAATATAAAAAATACAATGGCACCAACGATTGAACCTGATGTTGTCCAGTAACAATATTTTCTAAAACAATGCATGATTATTATTTCTAACCTTTCAACATGAAAAAAAGACCTACACATTCCATGGCGATATTGGTTCTGTTATCTGCTTCACGGTATTCTTGTGATCCACGGTTGCTCCATGTATATGTTGATTTGGATCTAAGTTCTCTTCGACATTAATAGGCGATTGTTGCATAGCAACTAAGCCTTGAATTGGTATAGCATCATTATTCATACAAGTCATTTCAATCTAGATGAAGACAGTAATTAGATAGAGATTGACTTAACATTGAATACTGAAGTTTATTTGTTACTTTGTAATTTTATATTTCTCTCAAAAGATGGATATATTCGAAGAAAGTATGAATAATTAACTTCGAAAAATAAATTTTCTTACTTATCACCTGGTGTAAAACTATGTAATCCATCAAAATAGTTTTTCAATCATAAACGAAAATTTATGTAATAAAGTTTTTAAGTTCAATATTATTATATGAAAAAAAAAGCTTCTTCAAAAGTGCGTCTGATTGCCAACTAAAATCCTTACTGAGATATGAATTTCATTATCTATATCATATCTTTTATTTACTGTGGCATTCTACACATCAATTTCTTTATCAATTACAATTACTACCGTTCAAAATGTTTCTCAAGAGATTTTAACCCTACACTTTGTTTCCGCTATTAATAAAACGAAAATATTTTTTTTCTTGTAACAATCATTGTTTCATACCTGGTTTGTATCGGATTGCATCGTTCACTTGTATGTATGTGCACGTTTTCGATCAATAAAGACAAAAAATTATGTTGGTATCAATTATTTGTTACGTTTTGATAAATGGTATGAACTATTTCAAAAACAAAAAAAAATCAGTTAGTACTTTTTATTAGTAATGAGTTTATTCAATGATTTGAGTATAATAGCTATCTGTTGTTTCTTCACTTTTGATTCATACTTTTTCATTGTACTGTGTATTTTAAAATTATTCTCAATCTGTTCGTGAACTACTGCTTTTATTTCTTACTAATAAATATTGTAAATTAAATAGAAATAATATCAGTCGTAATTAACGCTTCTATAATGTCGACGACGATTGAAATAGAAAACGAATAAATGAATACATTAATTATACAAAAATATATGAAGATGAAAAAAGAATCAGTCGAAATACAAAAAGGTGCATTTGCATGCATGTTTTTTCAATTATAATGATCACTGATGCGCAGACTGTTTTTTTTCTTCATCTTAACGAAAATATTAATGAATACGTAAGTCTAATTACGAACGTGACAAGCGCATATTTATCTTTTCCCTCTAGTACAGCGATCAATGACGCATTTTTTACTTTTCTTTCAATTCAAAGGAAAGAAAAATATACAAAAAATAGAAGAGCCTACGCCGACAACGATTTTATTTGTCGTTTATGTGATAAATATTACCATTACTGTAGTAGATGAAGAAAAATGATGAAATATGTACAGGTGACGATTTAAAAAATGATGTATTAAATCAGTTTATAATTATTTGTCTTGTAAATAAAATTTTTTTGGTGATATTTTATAAAAAAAGTAAAGTAAAAACAAGAAATATATGTAGTGCTGTTTGTCACATAACGAAAGATGCGATTAAATAGTGTGGAATAATAAATTTCCATCGATTTTTCAAATATACATTGGTTTTAATTGATTTTTAAATGAGAATCAATTTTAATCGAGTATTTCTCAAAAAATAATATATATCAATGAATTTTTAAAAATGTCAATCGATTTTGATCACAATGGAAAAAAAATGTATTTCTCTATTTTCCAATTATCGGCAGAACTGCTCGACTTTGTTTTCGAAATCCTCGCATTATTCATCTGGCTATGGTTTTTCTGCTTTATTGATATATTAAATTGCAGTTAATCTTCATTACTGAATTTGATTATTTAATAAATATTTAAAAATAGATCGAATACAAGTATTTAAGTGAAAACGATTTTGACACATAGTAGTAGATAATGGAATATAAAACTATTATATGATACTTTGGTTATGCTTATATCATCAAATGAAAGTCTTTTTCTTTGAAATATAATTAATCTATTTTTGCCAACACTTTCATTAATTTAAAAATATGTATACTATTGAATTAGAAGATGTTCGAAATCGTATTTCAATTATACCACAAGATCCTTTTCTTTTTACTGGTACAATGAGAAGTAAACTTGATCCATTTGGTTTTTATTCAGATGCAGAAATATGGAATGTACTTGAACAAGTTTGTTATTGATTTTTGTCAAATTTATCTTTTTTTTTACTTTCATAATATAGGTACCATTGAAAACATTTGTAAAAGATAGAATATCACATGGTCTTCATTCATTAGTCAATGAAAATGGATCTAATCTAAGTATGGAACAAAAACAATTGGTATGTTTAGCAAACTCTATATTAAAAAAAAGTAAAATTCTAATCATTGATGAAGCAACTGCTAATGTTGGCAATATGTAAGTAAAAAAAACAAAATATATGATGAAAATCTAAAAAAAATAATATTATTTAGAACAGATGAATTGATTCAAAAAGCTATTCGTGATAAATTCAAAGAATGTACAGTATTAACAATAGCACATCGTTTACGAACAATCATTGATAGTGATCGTATTATGGTATGATAGTTTTGTTTTTTTTCTAGAAATATATACTTTTCTTTCTCATATTTTAGGTACTTAGTAATGGAATGTTAGTCGAGTTTGATTCACCTCAAGTGTTACTTTCAAATACTAACTCTCAATTTACTTTACTAGTAGAACAAACAGGAATAGCTGAAGCTGAATATCTTCGAACATTAGCAAATTCTTCTGAATAAAATAATTTGAAAGTAGAGCCCTGCAGGTTGAGCTAACCTGCCCTGCCCTGCCCGGCCAGGGCAGGACAGGGCAGGTTAAGCCGGTCGCAGGGCAGGGCAGGGCAAGGTTATGAAAATTTTTACAGGGCAGGTTGCAGGGTGCGAGTGTCGTAACCTGTCAACCTGTGATAAAGTTTTCACACTAAATACTAACGACATATTTTATAAAATTATACAGAACATTAAGTCCAAATATTATAGACGATATGTTAATGATTTGAAATTTTCAAGATATGTGATTTTGTTTTTGTTTATTTATATACTTTATGATTTGAAATGGATTAAATAAAATTGTATAACAAACTGATATGAAAGTTTAGAGTTTTTTATAATGTATAGCAGGGCAGGGCAGGTTAAAGGTTACAAAAATTTTTACAGGGCAGGGCAGGGCAGGGTGCGCGAAAAATTTACAGGGCAGGGCAGGTTGCAGGTTGTCAAAATCTGGGAAGGGCAGGGTACAGGTTGCTAAAATGTCTTGCCCTGCAGCCCTCTATTTGAAAGAACGGAGAAGATTTAGATTCAAGGTTTCATAGTTTTTTATATCTTATCAGTAGTAGTTATATATAGTTGTGTAATAAACATGTGCGTGTTGATATATAGAGGTGAGATAAAAAAAAATAATGCAATATCAAAAGATTGGACATACAGATATTGAAATATCTCGTATAATTCTTGGTTGTGGCTCGTTTGGAGGTATTGGCTCGGCTCCTGAATTTTTTGGTCAAGGTGAAAGTGAAGAACAATCACATGAAGTTCTTGATGCTGCTGTTCGTCTTGGTATAACAACATTTGATACAGCTGATGCTTATGGTGGTGGTAGAAGTGAAACATATATAGGAAATTGGTTAAGAAAATGTGATAAAATAGTTCGAAATAACATAGTATTAAGTTCAAAAACATATAATCCAATGTTTATTGGTGATAGTAAAGGATTATCAAGAGAAAGAATATCAGAGAAAATTGATGGTACATTAAAACGTCTTGGAATAAAACAATTAGATATGTATCTATCACATGAAATGGATGAGCAAGTAACTCTTGAAGAAACACTTAGTTGTTTTAATGACTTACAAATAAATGGAAAAATATCTGCATATGGTGCATCTAATATCAGTTGTGAACAATTAGAAAAAAGTATATCAATTTGTGATAATCTGAATTTACATCGATATGAATGGATACAAAATTCTATGTCATTATTGAATTATCGTGAAGCCGAACAAATATTACAAATCTGTTCAAAATATGGTCTTGGTTTTACACCTTACAGTCCATTAGCAGGTGGTTGGTTAACAGGAAAATATCAGCGAGATGTTAATTATGAACCTGGCTCTCGAATGACACTACGACCTGAACCTTATGAAAATTATGTTCAACATCAGAATAGTATATTTGATGGATTAAATTCAATGAAAAAACTTAGTAAAGAACGATTCGGTGATATAAGTATTGCTGGTTTAAGTTTGGCTTGGTTACTTAGTGACTGTCGAATCACAGGAATAGTTATTGGACCTCGTAAACCAGAACATTTGAAACCGATAGAAGAAGCATTAAACATCCATCTTAATGAAACAGATCGAGTCGATTTAGCTAATCTATTTCCAGTGTTATAAATCGATATGCTTGCTTTAGATCTATATGATTGAATACAAAACGCTATTTTTCTTATGTTTTGTGTCTTTTCAGTGTGTGAGGGTGTGGGTGTGGGTGTTGGTGTAGATTTGAATGTAAATGTGAGTGTGGGCGGGTGTGACTGTAGGTATTATAGTTATTTATAATTAACATCCACACCCTCCAGATGGATGTAAGTATAGAGATTAAAAAAATCTCACATTCACACTTAGATTCATCTTTCTGTGCACTATTGACAAAGAAAGCTTACATCAGTCAACTGATAAAAATACTTTTATTTTATATATATGAGTTTAGAATGAGTATGTTCATTTATATGATTAGAATATAGTGCGAGAATAAAATATTTTCAATTAAAAAAAAAATAATTGTTCAGTTCGAATGATAAATAACCCGTTGATATGTTATAGAAGAACTGAGTCCTGTAATATTACCACATCTATATCCACCATGAGCTGATAGTGTAGTCCAACAAAGTCTATATATCGGATTTGCTGATGTAGTATCACATGCATATCGATACACTAGGGTGTGGGTGTGGGTGTGGGTGTAGGTGTGATCTATCCACAAAGTAATACATCCACTGTCATCTCCACCCACACCCTCAAATTTTCTTGAGAGTGCGGGCGCGAATGTGGGTGTAGTTTTAATCCCATACCCACCCTCAAGTTCTAGAAAAGACAAGACAATCTTATAGATTTCATATGTATACTAGACAGTTGTGGAGAATCTTGAAGAATCCTGGGGAATCTTGTAGAATCCTAAAGAATCATAGAGAATTCATGGGAATTCAGGATTGCGCTCTTTCCCCCTTGGCGTCTGGCTGTGTGAGGATAAAGGCATAGATAGCAGGCCAATATATCATCAACACCCACCCATACTTACACTCTCATTGTTTAAGAGAGCATGTATAGTTATGATAAAATAATTCTTTGCGAACATAGATAAGAGCATCAACAACGGCTGATTTGTTTTGGCTTACCCGTTAGGTCTTTATAAAAAAAACAGTATGAAGCATTAATCATCTCATATGAAAAAAAAGCACACGTTGTCAGTGTTTACTGACATCTTTTGTCATAGTGAAGGAATGTTTCTTTTTCTTCTCTCATGTGAAATTTATTAAAAGAAAAAAAGTATTGCACATTACAAAAGAAATATATTTCAATATTATGAAAAATGTCTATACAAAAAAATATATTTTTCGATAGATCTTATCTCAAACACATAAATAAAAATTTCGATTATTTAATTAAATTAATTCAAACTACTTATAAACCATTATCATTATCTTATGAAAATTTATCTAAAATCAATGTAATATCATTTGAATTTTTACAAGAATTTAATGGATCAAATCAAAATCAACAAATTCAATTATTAGCAAATATAAATAATTTAAATCAATTATGGCATTTTTTATCATTAAATCCAACATCTTATGATTGTTTGACTTTTATTGACGAACTTTATCAACTTACATTAACTTTTTCTTCAGTCAAGCAACATTTAGGTAGATTTTTATAATTCATTTTTATTTTGTCTATAAAATATATGTTTCATTAATTTAGCATTACATTCAGAAGATTTTCTATTAACATTAGGTATTTCATATGATGATAATATAAGATTTGGTTGTTTTAAAATATTAGCTTTGTTGATTAATGATGCACAACCAGATAGTAAACAAACTATTGCACGTTTTAATCGAATATGTTATGAATGTCTTTATGATTTTAATATTTATTATGAAGAAATAAAATATTTTACAATTGAATCACGAATTATTGATTTAACAAAAGATGATATCAGTCATTTAATTAATGGAGAAAATATTCGCATAGATTTAGAAAAAGAAATAAATCAAATAATTGAAGATTTAGGTGGATTTGTATTCTTTAAAATGCATAGAAGTCCAAAAGATGCTTATGAAAGTAACGTTTTTTTCTCATATGAAGTATAAGAATATGTATATTTTGATTTATTTCATTAGATCTTAGTAAAGAAATTAATAATGAATGGATTCGTATTTGGAATTTAACAGAAGATGAAGATCCTTATTTAAATTTTATGAAAATTCAAAATGTTAATCAATTAAAATTACTTTTTAAAAATAGTGATCGTCTTCGACAAGATTTAAATGAACTATCTTCAAATGAAAAATTAATTTTACGAAGATGGGTTTCCAATATATCAAATGAATATCGATGTTTTATATGTAATGGAAAATTGAATGCTATTTCAACTTATGGATCACAACAAAATTCAATAGAGAATGAGAAACAAATGAAAGATTTCATCAACTCAAAAAATTTTCAAGATATTATTTTAACAATTCCATATAGCCATGGAGTTGTTGATTGCGCAATTGATTGGAGTAATTATAATGTAATTATCATAGAAATAAATCCATTTAGTAAACGATCATCAGCAGCTAAATTCTCATGGATAATTGATAGAGATATTCTCTATTATTATTTTAATAACTATGGATGTGTTAATATTAAATTCTAGATACTTGTCAGCTATTTACGAATAAGAGAATTCTAACAAGTTCTAATGACTAATAATTATTCATTGTTAATTACGCTGACTCATCTTGAAATGATCTGTGCAAATTGTATAATATGACGGTATATGCAAATATCATAAGCGCGTTTGTACCGCATATATAACTGATCTCATATATGACTTACATGAGTATAGCACATGAATTAATTTATCTGTTCGTATAATTCACGCAAGCTGTCAAGGCTTGTCCATGAAAAGAAATCTATGCGCTATGGACATATTTTGAGATCAAGTAGTTGAAGAAAAAACATTTGACTAATGTAAAATATATCAAATTTATTTAAAAGATAAATACGCTCTATTCATCATATCTACAGAATGAAGTAAAAGAAAAATCAAGAAACGTGCTTTTTTTTCTTTCTGTCATAAGCAAAAGTAAAGTTGTGCAATAATCAGTCGATGACTCATTATTATGACTTGATAGAGAATAACATCACAGTGAAAATGACGATGAAAAAAGAAGAATGAGAATAATTTCATAACATTTTAGAACTTTGTATAATGGCAGAATTCACCCATTCAGAAATATAGATTCTAGTGTAGGTCTCATATGTATAGTTTTCGTCATTTGTTTGCTCGCTTCTTATTATTTCTTCTGATTTTATATATTCCCCTTATCTTGTTGTTCGTATTATTCCTTTCTTTCGTTTTCTCTGACGAAGCAGTATATAAGCGTATGTTCCGTATGAAAACGATACGATTCTACATATGGAGAAATATAATAAAGCGTACTACCAGCGTTCCTTACTCTCCTTCTATTATGATAATCAGGTATTCTTTGTTGTGATTTGTATTTCTTATACTAGTTTTTCGATTTCTTGTTAGCATTGTTTCGTATATATGTTACGATTATTTGAAAAATACAGCACATGTTCATTTTCGACGAGTTAGATCAAGCATTCTGTTAATAGTATTGATATTGTTTTTTTAATGTTATATGAGTTATAAGGTTATTGAATCATAAACACTAAAACACCGAGTAGGAAAATAAGAATAGTTAATATGACCAGAGAATAAATCATATTAAATTTTTGTTGTAATGTTGGATTTATTTTTAGATAAAAATTTTAAATTTCGTTAAATTAATAATGGCTACAAAAGAATTGAAAAATAACGACGATAATAGCACAACACAGCAAGGTACAGATAAATATTCGTCATTTCATTATTCTTAACGATTTTATTTGTGATATAAAAGATATAATTAAGAAAAGTGTGCATACGTAAGTGAAATAAGAGTAGAGAAATATGTAAAGATCTCTTACTTATACTCATATAATTATTTTCTTTTTTCAATGAAATAGAAATATACCATCTGTTTTAAGCACTGAATCTAAGTTATTTTTCTCTTTTGAAGATGCGATCGTCACAAAAGAAGCTCGTCGATTATATTCAACAATGTTCGGAAAACTTCTAGACGATGACGAATACACACCATCGCTTATCTCTGACCGCCTCTTTCTAGGTTCTTCATCTGACGCTCGTAACTTTGACAAATTGCAGCAGTGTCATATCAAATATGTGCTGAATATGACAGGATCGGCATCGTACCCTGCTGAGTTCTTCACTGCAGCTGGTCACTCGAATATAATTCTTCTCGCTCTGGATGCTCATGATATAGATGACTACGATATCTCTGCTCATTTCCCGGTAGCTCTCAATTTTATTCACAAATCGTTGCAAGCCGGCGATGGAGCTATTTTGGTTCATTGTGCTGCAGGTGTATCTCGTTCAGCCTTGATAACTGCCGCTTATCTAATGATCGCACATCAAATTAGTGCTGTGGACGCTGTTTTACGTGTACATCAGGCGCGTCCATGTGCATGCCCAAATATCGGTTTTCTACGGCAGTTGCTTCTTTTCGAGCGTACAGGATTTAAACTTACATGAATTTTACTTGTTTCTTGTTTTGTGTTTTTGTATCTTTATTATTTTCTATGAAAAGAAGTTTTTGATCTACAATGCTCATGTCATGTTTATACCGTTTGATTATGAGAATGAATGTCGCTATGTTTGTGATTCTTATACTTGCAATGTATAGTATATCGTACTGTTCAAAAACTGATAGTGGCCATTCGTCATGAAAAGATTGATTTAGTATGCTGCGAATTGTGATATCACTTCTTTGTCTTTAAACATATCGATTGTAATATACTTAGTCTTACCCAGCATATAATAAAGTATAGAGTAATCATCAGTGGCGTGGAATAACTAGAGATTGAAGTCCAAACTCACTCAAATCCACATCCTCACCCGTCCTCAAAATATGAGATTATTATGATAATTTCATCTCGATTCTTTTTGATGAAAAAAAACTGTACATATTGGAATAAATCTTATCTGAAGATGAAATTGTTCGTGGTTACTTAACATTATTTTTAACTTTTAGTTTTCAGTCTAATTTATTGTTTAAATACATTTTTAAAAAATCGGTTAAATTTACAATTTATGTAAAATTATTTCAGAAAAATAAATTATATTAATTAAGGTCAATATATCTTTTGAATGGAAATTATTAATATTATGTAATTGACCATTGTTTTCCACCGCCAACATTCAATCTATATCTTTCTAAATCCCAATCTTCATAAACTCCACGTCGAATAAGTTCCATAGCTCTATTATGTTGTGGTAATCTACTAGCTTTCAATGACCAGTCTCTATTTACCCATACACAAGTAGCTAAATTACGTCTATCAGGAGCTGCAACACCGAACCAGTACTTCAATAGTCCACCGCTTTCATTTGCTTCGCAATGAGCTTGTTCATCATGTGCATGAAGTTCACTAAAAATTTCTGAATTAACAGATGAAAGAGCAAGGCGTGAACGAAATGCTACAATATAAAATTCTGTAGCTGGAAAGTTATGTGGTATCTTTGAAAGAATTGTTGACCAATTGAATGCTTCATTATATGGTAGATCTAAATATCCTTCATTTGGTTGTAATTGTTGAAGCAATATAGCCACCTCTTGAGATGATTTATCCAATGTTGCAAGATTCAGAGGATGATCTGGATAAGGTGAGGAAATAATGGATTGATCTTCTTCTAATTGAATAGATGAAGTAATCGATGCATTAATTGCTGAATAGTCAAAGTTCTCCTGAATCAAGGCGGTGCATACCATTTCAATAGATTTAGTATAATCTAAAAGTATTTAGTAAAGATATATTTTCTACTGATAGGATTTTTTGATGTAAAAATAAAATAAAAAACTTACCTGTATATGTAATCATTGAATAAGAATGAAATAGATACTTAGAAAAGAATATTTTCAAATATTATATACCACACTCACGTCTTCATCATAATATATGACTGTTCGAAGTTAATGCGCGTAGGTTTTCTTACTGATCATTTATTTGTGACAGTGGATATGATAGGCGTATCCTTCATGACTAATACGAATGGAATGAATCTATAAACAGAATACAAAAGACACTCGTCTACCTCACCCACATCATTTTGATTTCTATGTAATTAACCATTTCTTCTTATTATGATCTGATTTATATATGGTTGTATCAGACACAGAATACTCGTAAAATGTTTTTATTTACATAAATATATAAGCATACGCCACATTACCTCATTTTATTCGTCCTTTTAACGAACATCGTGCATCAGTAAATATGTCATGCTTCCTCTTACCCTCATTGTACTTTTTCATAGTTAACTATAATTCAAAAAAATATTCTATAATAAATACTGAGATGAAGAGGTCAGAATGCTTGTTTTCGTTTTTAATATATATAATTTCATACATTCTTATTCCAGTTTTTCCTTGGAGATTTCTTTTTTAAATCATTTATACAAGCGGTAGATGTCGTAATTAATATTTAAATCAACATATGTATTGATTCTTTCTGTCTGCATCAAACCTATTCATTTATTACTAATTTTCTCTAGAACTTCATTCGAAACAATATATTATATTGTTTGACTCTTAATATTTCATGTTTGATTTAATCAGACTAAATTATTTCCATATGATAAAATATGTACTTTTATCGATGAACTTGTTTTTGCAGTCATTCATGCCAATGGCAATAAGTAAGAGCAAATAGAAACCAACACTTGAAGACAGACACTTTTCGAAAAGAAAATGAATAGAATCCTGACACAAACAAATATTGCTCTCAATACAATTTTTAGATCGAGTTAATAATCTCTGACCTAGTTAAAAGTGCATACAAATAAAGGAAGCAACAGACAACACCCAACATTGATCTTCATTTTTCATATTTTTTCTCATAGTTTAAATCTATTTTCTTCTTTTATGTGAGTGAAAATATTTTCTATTAATGATACATTTTATTTTATTTACGTATATGTATATAGAGTGATGTGCTTCATATAAAATAGACAGAACCAGATTGATGAAATAGTGTCTGTACAATATTTATAACAAGGGTCTTAATCTCTACGTTCTGTTTGATCATTTCTTGGTATTATTTTATTCGATTTTAATAAATTTCCAAGTTGTGTAGTTATTAGTGGAAGAAAAAGCGAAAATAAAAACGAACCAAATGATGATGATAACCATTGAAAACGTAATGTAGTGGAATTTAAATATTCATAAAATATACTTATAATATAAAGAACAACATATGGTACGGCTATGAGACAAAGTAAAATTGAATTTAATAACATTCGTTTAATAACAATATAATCTCGTCGATTACGTTCTTGATGTAATCGTATCATTGATGGTTGTCGCATTTTTTGTCCAATTTTTATATAGAAAATGCAAAGAATCGTATATGGAATTCCAAATGCAATCGTATTTGAATATGCACAGAAATAAGCAGGTTTGATTAAAATATCACAAAAAGCTTCGTTTGGTATTAAATGTATACAATCAAAAAATAAAAATGATGGTAGAATACCAATGAAAACAAATATAAATTGACAAGGAATAAGTATATATAGATAGAAGAATGATCGACATAACCATAATTGTTTTGGATAAATAATTCGAACAAAACGAAAGAATGCAAGAAGAACATAACTCCAATATAATTGTCCAACTATTGACCAAAGAATATATGCTTTTAGTCGACAGATAAATGTTTCTTCAGTTTGAGTGATGTTGTGAAAATCTTTCATTATAGTTGGAATAGTAATATGAATAGTTTGAAAAATACTTTTCGTAATAATAATACAAAGAGTATTAATAGAAAGAATTAAAGGTACATTATTTATTATTTGATTATGATGATGATGATTTCTTTGAATAAAATGATAAGCAATAATTGATAAAAAAGATAAACAAATAATGAAAGCAATCATATCCAGAAAAATAGAAATTAAATTAAATATTGAATTAACTGTATTAAGATATGACATTGTTTCAATGGGATAACAGAATTTAAAGAAATTCGTTGTATTTTACACTCAAATTAATTTTGTTATATTATATGAGTTATAGAAAAAGAGAAATTCACATGTTGTTTTCTTTTAATCCTTTCCGAGCCACTGACGCATGTATGCATCCTGAAAAACTTAATTTATTCATTCAACGAAAGAAGAAAAAATATTAAAAATTACAACATGCGTAAAAGTCAAAGATCATAATTATTATAAACATCTACACAAATCAGAAGCATACAATTTCCGTTAATATCATTAAAACTATGAATTCAAATATATATTTATAATAAGAGTATGAAAAACTATCGAATCGTTAACGGTTCTACCGTACCCAGTTAGAGTAAATCGGCAAAATAAAACGCGTTTTTTTTACCGGTTTTGTTCCAGTGGGTATAAATCAAAGAAAATTAATTTAAATAAAGAGTAAGCCATAGCGTTAAGTTGACTATGAAATAGAATAAAATATTATATTACAGTGCCATGTTTGAAAAGAATTTTTAGACGATGTATCATGAATGATTTGTCATTCATTTTTCTTAAATAAGCTAAAATTGAAAAAATTCGTGTTTTATCTCAACAAAGTTGATGAAGTAGATAATCTATGCTAATTATACCATGAGTGTGGGTGTGGGTGTGGATGAGAAAGAATCCTATATTTATGTCTATATCTGCAAGGCACTTTATTTGTTTTTAATAATTTGTATGATTATAATGTATCTAAAATTATAATAATACTCGGAAAACGCTTGGTTGATTGTTAATGTATTATTTTCTATCTATCACTTCTTGTTTTGTCTACATGTAATCTTCTCTTATTTTATCAACACGATTTTCTATTGTTGATTAGTATATATGACGATGTGAAATATAAGTAAGGATGAGACGATTCCAAAAACATCCACGACTGCATCTATACTGATATTGTTCATCGATTGCTTTTTTAAGACTCTACTAAGAATGAAAACTATTCAAAAATCTATATAAAGATTTGTCGAAGAGTTTTAGTTTACTGATTGAACTTCATATATTCATACATAGCATTCAATTTACTTTCGTTTTTTAATGGTTAAATTTTGCAAAGGAAACACAATAGAGATCTAAGCTCCGTCTCAGGAGAAAAAAAGAGTTTTTATGTTCTGCATTTTCGAATAACAACGCAAGCAATTATTACACCAACAATAATCAAGATGACCAATACAGTGATTCCGACGGCAAGGCCGATCTTTAGCGCGTTCTAAATAGGATTGATAGTATCATATTAAAGTTTCCAAAATGTATCTATAATTACCGAGGTAGAAGCAGTAGTAGTAGACATAACAGTACTTGAATTTCCCGTCGATGATATTATGGTGGTCGTAGTAGTTGAAGACACTATAATATCAATAAGATGAAATAAAATCTTTGATTTCACTCCAAAAGAAGTCAATTTTACCTGTTGAAGTATTGAACACAGTCGACGTAGATATAGTTGATGAAACTGAATTATTTTGTATAAATATTCATTTCTATAACAAGTTAATCATCATACCTGATGTGGTGTTGCCAGTGGAAGAAGAAGATAAAGCTGAAAAGTAAAACTGAAAGCGAAAGACGAAAATACGGTTTTAAAGACTTACTTGAGTTCTTAGTTGTTACTAAAATCATTCAAACAATATAGGTTCATAGTTTTATTTATTTAAAAGTATTTCAAAAATATTGCAGAACTTACTCGAAGTGGCATTCATTATGCCCGATGTGGTTACATTGGAAAAGCCTACAAAACATCTTAACTATTTCATTTTTCTCGCATAAAATCTATTTACTAGTTGTCACGGCTAAAAATAATGTCAATACAATTAAAACATAAAAGAGCATAAGTACACTTGCTTAATGTCGTTGTAATGGCAGTTGATGTAGTTGTAGTTGTAATATTTGGTGTTGGAACACAACCATAATATCGTTGAATGGCAAGAATATCAACTGGACTCAATCGAATTCGTTGTCCAATATATGCACTAGTATTTTGTGTTGGAATTATAGTTGGTCCACTACGATTCAAAGCAAATGCATTCCATTCATAGTGCATAACTGATCCATAGTCATATGATGTCATTTCAACATCAACTTGTGAATCATTATATTTAACAAAATTAAACGCTTGACCTATACAATTCAGGTAAGAGATTAGATTTATTCATAACAAAATTGTATAATAAAACTAACTTGGATCAATATTAGCCCATTGAATCGAAACATATGAATCTCGATCAGGTCGTGATTGTTCGTGATAAAAACCTTTTTTTGATACAAACAAATATTCTATATTATTTTCTTGTATATATTATACCTAAGACATGAGTTAATTCATGTTGAACAATTCCTGAAACCATACAAGTTGAATATGTTCCATGCATGAGTGAAACAGGACGAGTACCAATATAAGAACCCCAAGATCCAACCTGATAAAGATAAACAATAATAACTTTTAATGATAGAATATTTCTTTTTGCTATTCACCGGAGAATAACAGCCAGATCCATTGAAGATTGTAATAAAGTATAGATCAGATGCATTTCTTGGACGAAATGAAATACATTGTGTATTATTGACTTGTGTAAGATTTTCCATTGCTCTCATTTGTGCAACAATAAAAGCTGAATTGTTAGCAGCTGAAAAACATCGTTCATTATTTATATGAAGAAAAACAAAATATACAGACTAATGTTTGCAGCAAATTCATAAGGTACAACACCACCTGCCCATCGATTAGATGATGCTGGTTTTATTGCTACACCACGCTAAAATATCCAAATATTGTTATTTATATAATTCCAAATGAAAAGATTTACATCTGTAAGAGATTTCTGAAATGGTTGAGGAACCATATCACCACCTTCTAATCCTTCTACAAGAGAAAACAAATTATGAAATGAAATATATTGATAATAGTTAGGCAAACCATTTTGTTCAGGATTATAAATTGATGTAGTTTGAACTGTATCAGAAGACTGGATTTATAGAAGAGTGAATTAATGAATATATTAATCTTTGAAAGACTTACTTGTAAAATAGGTATCGAATGAAGATTGATAACAAAATAAAGAAGAATTAAAGTGAGATATTTGTTTAAATGCATTATGAATGATGAATATTTTTGAATCTTTGTAATGAATGCTTTATTTTAATAATAAAATGAGGCTTTCACTTTTTATTTTTCGAATCTACTGCAATAGTTTATACATTTCGCAGTAGAAATTGTACTTGATATTTTCTTTTCATTCTTTTATTTATTTCTCATCACGAACATTGCCTCAGCAACCACTTCATGTGATTCTGTAGATGATCAAACGAAAAATCGAATTCATTGTTTCTTACGTATTTTCTATTTGTTTATATCAACAAAAATATTAAGTATTGAATAATGAATAATATATGCAAAAATTTTCAAGCGAAAAAAACATATTTGTTGTTAATCATTCCTTTTTTTTAAAGATTGAAGAGGTAGATTCGAATCACGAATACATTACTCATTCACATTGTAACTCACACATTTTATTGTGCACCAGGCTATTTGATTATTTAACAAATTGTGTTGCTTACCAATCCAATCATTTCTCTTTGTATGGTTGTTATATCAAATAAATGACATCTAACTGTAATGGAATTAGAGATATGATTAACAGACATAAAATATGATCAGAAGTATTAAATTTTCGCTACAGAATAAAGAATTAATGAAAAAATTAAAACAAATTAAACATTCTTTTAAGTGAGAAAAAACCTAAATGAAAAATAATCATACAATCTATTCTACTTCTCGTGGAGAGTGTAGGTATGACTAGGCGTGGATGAGATAGAACACCCACACCCTGATTGGTAGACTATGTATATTGAGAAATCTAGTTTTCCAAACGCTTGTTCTCTGGATCTTTGACCTTGACAACCACATACATACACACATACTAACTTTTTTTCTATATGGCTTTCCTATAGGGAACTGCAAAGTGGTCCCGGTCCCGGTCCTGCGGGGCCGGGACCAAGACTAAAATTGTCAGCTAATTCCTCAATGCTTTTACCAAGTATGAGACCAGACATTTTCTATTTTTTTTTGTTTTTTTTTGAGTAAGAATTGACAAATGTGTTATTTTGTAGTTCAAGAAAAACCGTATAGATTGAATTTACAATCGAAAAAGCGAGAATTTTCGTGAACTTCATATTTTTTTTTGCATAGATGAAGACAACACCAGAATTATTCTTACGCTTTTATCAAGACCGGGACCAAAAAAAGTGATTTTGCAGTTCCCTACTTCCCTTACACTCGAGAGAATATATTTGTAAACATCTTTCTATAAATTGATAATATTTTCTAAGAATTCTTCATGGTGAAACAACTATACAATGAATAGAGAATTGACCACAGTATACAGGAATTTTTACAAATATTAACTTGCATTATTATATTCGTAAAATGTGATGAAAATATGTAGTTCAACTTTCGCAAATTAGATGTATTTTCTTCATTATTGGTGATGAATTCTAACGGGTATAATTTAAATATTGTCAATGATTCATTATTAAACGAAATATCGACGGGGGACACAAACATTATTTCTGATTGGTTCTCTTTTTCTTTTTTCCTCTTATATTTTTTGTAACGTGAAAAAGCCTCACGTTTTTTTCTTTCATAAGAGAAGTAGCCGTCGTCGATTGACATTTTTATCGTTAGAAAAAACTTTAGTCGTAATATAGTAAAAATAATGAATAAGAATACAAAAATAATAATTATAACATCAGATGAAGATATTATTCAACGTTTGATCTCAAATGAAACCAACAATACACAAATAATTAATGTAACAGAAAATCTTCATTACTTATCGAAATTTGTATGTATTTAATTGATAATAAAATAAAAAAATTCGATTGTGTCTATTATTTAGAAGTCAAATAATGATAATCAAATAAATAAACGTGTACTTGAGTCAAGTACTACCAATGAAGAACGATCAATTAAAGTACGAAAAAAATGGAGTGATACAGTTTGTGTAATTTGTGGTGATCAAGGTATTGGATATAATTATAATGTTCTTACATGTGGTTCATGTAAAACGTTTTTTCGGCGAAATTTTAATGAAGATGTGGTTAGTTAAATTACAATTGATTTATTAAAAAATTCTAACGATTTTTTTTTTATTTAGGACAAACTTCAATGTTTAACAGGTGACGAACAATGTTCAGTTTCACATGAAATACGTCGAAAATGTCAAAAATGTCGATTAAAACGATGTTTTTCAATTGGAATGAAACCTAATGTTGTTAAAAATAAGACAAAAACTAAAAATATTAAAAAAAATCTGAATAACTCATTAGTATCATCATTCAATGAAATTGATCAAGTAAATCTTTTTCGATTTAAATATTTCTTTTCAACGATTATTTTAGTTGTTCACGAATGAAAATAGCATTATTGATTCAAAAACAATCAGTGATACATTATTTACTCGATTATCTGTTGAAGATTGGATTACAATTCAAAATATTCAATCATCATTTGAATTTTTCTGTAATTTTCCATTAGAAGAAAATTCTGCTCTTATGGATCTATCTGATCGTACTTCAGCTATTATATCTTGGTCATACGTAGGAAGTGGAACTGCAATGCGTTTTATTAATTTTTTTCGTCATATGAAACAATTCGAAGAATTAAATAATGATGATCGTTTTATTTTAACTAAATATAATCTTTTTTCGATATATCTTACATCAAAAGGTTATTATTATAAACGTGTATCTTGTTGTCATTCAATTGAATTCTGGCAAAAAGAAGATGAGAATAATCGTCGATTTATTAGTTTATGTGATACTTCATCATATGATGTCAATAAATGTGACGATTTAGTTAAATATCTAATCGAATTAACTGAACGAGATCCAACAATTATATCTCTTCTTTCAATAATTCTAATGTTTTCTCCAGGTATATCAATGAATGAAAATGAGCCATTATTAAAAGATTTATTAAGTATTTATCGGATTCAATGTTATTTTACAAAAATCCTTTGGAATTATTTACTTGATAAATTGGATGAAATACAAGCTCATAAATATTTTATTCAATTATTTACATTGATTTTACGAATTCAATTGGGAGCTAAAGAATTACGACAATTTTTTCAACATCAATTTTCAATAACAAATACTAAAGATAAAGTTGCACCGTTAATGCAAACTATTTTACATTTTTATTAATTCAGATTTATTTAAATAAAATATTTTTTTTCATATGGATAGAAATCTAACTATAATGAGTTATTCTTTTTCACTGTGAAACAATTAAAGAAGATCAGAGAGTATCACTTATATGCTTAGGCTTTCTCAATGTTCATTCATAAATAAAAATGACACATAAAGAGTTGATAGAACTCAATCTTAAGAATAGTAAAATATTCTTCAGTCTGTTTTACTACCCATACAATGATATTTCTAGGATATAATTAACCACGGGTCAAACTAGAAACGTACAAAAGAAACACATAAGATTTTGTGTATTTATAGGATATAATTAACTCAGGGTCAAACTAGAAACACAGATGAGTCATATAATACCTTTTACGTCTTCACCATATAAGCGATGGAAGGTTAAAGTAGAAACATACAGAACGAACGTTAAGCATGTTTTATTTCAACGATATAAAAGCGTGTTCTCTTTCCTTTCTTTCTTCATTATAACCTTGTCATATTCAATAATTTGATATTTTATCTTTTCAAAATATGTTTCAACCAGCACCACAACCTCCAACTATTTTGGGACGATACCGTATATTGTCTCCAACAGCAGCTGTTCGAGTGTCTCCATTATGTTTAGGTGCTATGTCTATTGGTGATGCATGGAATGAATTCATGGGTACAAATTCTAAAGAAAATTCATTCAAAATTCTTGATGCTTTTTATGAAGCTGGTGGAAATTTTATTGATACTGCAAGCAATTATCAAAATGAACAAAGTGAAACACTGTTAGGAGAATGGATGGTAAAACGAAACAATCGTAGTCAAATGGTTATTGCAACAAAATTTACAACTGGATATCGATCAGATTGGAAACAAGAACCGATTCATGTTAATTTTGCAGGAAATTCAACAAAATGTTTACATGAAAGTGTTAATGCTTCTTTAAAAAAACTTCAAACTGATTATATTGACCTTCTCTATGTACATTGGTATGAACTTAAATCCATTAAAAAAAAAGTGATAATTTCATATACATCTTTTCTTCTGCTTTAGGTGGGATTATACATGTTCAATTGCTGAGCTGATGCAATCCTTGGATCATTTGGTTAAATCAGGTAAAGTACTTTATTTGGGAATAAGTGATACACCTGCATGGGTTGTTGCAAAAGCAAATCAATATGCAAGAGATCATGGTTTACGGCAATTTTCAGTTTATCAAGGCTTGTACAATGCTGCTACACGAGATTGTGAAAGAGACATTCTTCCAATGATTCGAGATGAGGGAATGTCTTTTGCACCATGGGGAGCTTTAGGTGGAGGAAAATTTAAAACAACAGAACAAATAGTAGCAATGGAAAAAGAAGGTGATAAAGGACGATCATTTTCGGGTCTTCTACAAGGTAATGAATGTTTATTTTCAAATTAGAATAAAACTTTATTCAATTAATTTAGGTCCAAGCAAAGATGATCAAGCAGTAACTGCTGTTTTGGAGAAAATTGGCAAATCGAAAAATGTTTCACTTTCACAAATTGCTTTATCTTATGTAATGGCAAAACAACCATATATTTTTCCTATTATTGGTATTAGAAAATTGGAACATTTACAGGATTCTATAAATGCATTAAATGTTCGATTAACCAAAGAAGAAATTAAACAAATTGAAGATGCATACAATTTTCAAGCTGGTTTTCCACATAATTTTATAGGTATGAATCCAAGTCAAAGTTGGGGTTTACCTTTAGCAGGTCATTACGATTGGGTGGAACAAGAAAAGAGCATCAATGCCAATTGAAAATAAACATTTTCAAGATTTTGTGTATTATCAATTTTTTTTCGAAAATTTCTTTTCAATAAACTCTAGATCACAATTCTATAAATCAGTACTAGACAATGTATTTGAAACATTCAAGATATTACTATTATCTATAAGTGCATTCATCATGTTTGAGATTATCAAAAACTAGTATATTTATTTGAATTCTTGCAGACATATTTAAATGCACAATTTTTTTACAAGTGGAGATACGAATAAAATTGCTACTGATATTGTGACAAGTGCAAAAATAGTTAGAACCCATTCTAATGGAACTAACCATCGAGGAAGTTCTCCAAGTATACTATAAACTATAGGTAAAATTCCATGTGGTGCAGCAGTTGAAATAACACATGTAAGAAGAATAACAAGACGTCTTAAAATAATTAAATTTCGACGTACACTTGATCGTTGTTGAAATATTAAAACTGTTAAAGTTCGTCTTCGAACATAACACATTGTATGAATATAACAATATACTGTTATTATATATGGACAAAGAAAACCAAGTAAACAAACAGTTAATGATCCACGCATACTAGTCAATGCAACTTGACAATGATAATCATTAGGTAAATATTCAATATCACCAATACATAAACTTGGTAATAATTCTAAAGCAGAAAATATCCATTGACCAAATGACATAATTATATAAAGATTATAATGTTGACGTTTACTATGTATTGGATAGATCACTCGAGTTAATCGATAAATAGCTTGTAATGAAAATGAATGAAAAAATGTATATCCACATGTATACATAATATATCCTTTAATACGACACGAATAATTATCAAACAAACTATTCGGATGAAAATATCCATATATATAATGAATGCACATATCGACAAAAAAACAACTAATAAAGAATAGAATAATATAAATATTTGTAAGAAGTAAATAATCTAAACGATTTCGTTTAATAATTTCACGATGTAAAATCATACATAAGAGAAAATATATTGAAATAGAAATTTGAATTAATGAAAAGAACAATGTTATTGAATATAGAATAAGATTTAACATGATTTTATTGATTATAATATCTAGAAAAAAATTTCTTTTTTATATGTAATATGAAGGATATATAAATAACAAACTTTTCATTAATTATTCTACAATAAAAGATAAAATACATAGATCTTTCCCATTGAGAAATAATGTATTATGTGAGTTAAATATTTAATAATATGAATGAAGTCGTTTATTTTATATTCAATAAAAATCAAGAATTATAATACTTTTATTTATGACACTTAGGCTTTTCTATATGTATATAATTATAAAAATAAATATAATATCTTCTTATAAGAAAGTACTCACTAATGAAATGTGACATGTTTGTTTCAGACTAAGATAATATTTAATTTATTATTCATTAAATCGAACAAAAAAAACAGTTTGTGATCATTCAATAATCTTCGATTCATAATGAAAGTAATATACTACTGAAATTCTTAATTACAATATTCTACTTATTAAACTTTAATTTCGTAATGGAAAGAAGAGAATACAGATTGTATTTCAATGGCGTGTGAAGAAAAACGATACTTATATATATGAGTATCTTCGTTATTTTAAGAAATCTTTTAGACATACACAATTTTGCTTTTACTTTGTTGAGTATTTTTAGACACTATCTATTTAAAACATTATACATATAAGGTTGAAAATAATATTATTTCACGAATTTATCGCTATAATCATACATAGAGTAACCCAATAATTTTATGTCAAATGAAACCTCGCGAAAAATGGAGTTTTTTTTATATCGAACTAGAGCAATTTGACATTTTTCTTCGGCTATGAACTGTTAAATTGTTCTAGTTCGACACTAAAAAGTTTTTGTATTCAAATGAAAATTTTTTGTCGTAGAAATGATCGAATAAAAGAAGATCGTGACAAAAAAACTTACTTTGAAAATAGAATAATTATATATATATATGCCAATAGTATACCTATTGATTCACCTCAACCGATTCGAATTCATATTACAGATCTATAGCGTTATTCAGTTTTAAATGTGCTGTCTATCTATGTTGTTTTTCAAGCAAACTTCACAGATAATCAGAATGTGCATGTAATATATATATAGACCAACTTGATCTGTCAGATTAATTACTTTTTTTTTTAAATCTCTCCAATATCAACGTGGGTTATTGAATACGAGAATCATTTCTTTTCCATACCTTTTTTTGGTAATATTTGACGTCGATACTTTTCTTTCATAAGAGCTTTGTAATATTGGAATCATTCATCTATTTTCGTTTGTTGTACTTGTCGAAAAATTTATATGATAGAAAATCTGATTACAAAATAAGACCTACATAGAGAATAGATAGAATATAGAATAACATACTATATATTCATTGAGTACTTCTCTTAAATATTCATTATCAGACATTGTTTATCTTTAGTTTATTATGCAATCACACATGATTTTTATTATTCTATACAACAACATGAGATTATTTTGAAAGAATTGAAAATTATAATTGTATGTTATAGAGCCATTGAGATATATCTTTTTTTTCTTCTTCTCTTTCCTTTCTTGTATAGATGACACATATAAATATGTTACAATAGAAATTAAAATCTAAGAGAATTTTGGGTGTGGATACTGTATTCATCTGGGTCCCACACCCTAATTTGTCATTGATTATCCTTTGAATACTGCATCTTTTTTCAGAAATCATTTGATTCGTACATGTAAATAAATAGATATCATTAAAAGAATAACTATCTTTCCTTTAGTTTATCAGGCAATTGATTGCTAATTATGTTCTTGATAAAATCAAACAGAATACAACGATAAATGTCAAATAAATTATTTCTGTTTGAGTATATTCTCATAATCAACACTGTTTATATACAATATTCAAGAAAGAATGATATCAAAAAAAAAAAAAATAAGAAAAGTGAAAGAGAAATCCTCCAACTCATCAAAACCTTTTAAGATAAGTATCTTCTTCTTTATTTTATATTTATATAATGTAAGCGTTTATCATACAAAAAAAAATAACTGATGTCCTTCTCAATATACAATAGCTCAAGAACAGAAAAAGCTACAAAACTGTGATTCTCTACTGTATTATACAGTAATAGAGGAAAATATACTACGGTGTTATGTATTTCGATTGGTGAAAAGTATAGATCTTTAATTTTTCTCGGTTTTGAGTTATTACAAGAATATCTATGGCTATTATATTTCTAAAAAGGCATCAAATAAAAAGCATTGGCATAGATAAAGATCATTGTCCGAAAATCATAGTTTTACATCATTTACATACATTTAAAAATACATCTTGAGTAGGGAGCTGCGGAGTACTCCGAAACCCGATTATGACTCCGACTCCGACTCCGGCGGAGTCGGAGTCGGAGTCTGCGAAACATAATTTTTCGGAGTCGGAGTCGGAGTCTGCGAAACATAATTTTTCGGAGTCGGAGTCGGAGTCTGCGAAACATAATTTTTCGGAGTCGGAGTCGGGTTTATCGAAAAAAATTTTCGGAGTAAGTCGGAGTCCGAAGTCATAACCACACCTAATAAAATTTTGTGTTTTTATGAACCAATAAGTTTATTCTTCGTACTAATCAAGAAAAAATGACAACAGTTTCTATATAGATTAACAATAACTTTCAAGACAAAAAAAAATTAATCATTTTCTCGTTATAACATTCATAAGAGCAACTACATTAATCTAAAAATATTTCAATGTCATCTGCATTACTGTAATTATCTTCATCATTAGTTCTTGACTGTTTAGACATAGTCCATGTTGATGAAAAAGCTCCTACATTTGACTAAAACTTACATTTTTTTCTTTTGTACAAGCGTAACAGATTCATGACTATCATCTATTAATTTTTTAAGTTCTTTTCTTGACAAAAGCTTCTTGGTCATTATTATTTTCACCTTCGTACAACAATGAAAAAAATTCTAAATTAATATTAACATGATGACTCTTAATTTTTATTCATTCGTTTGTTTCTTTATCCATTTGCACATCGTGATATTTAAACACTAAAATATATGGCAGCTATTTTTAGCTCATTAACAAAATTTCGGATTTTTTCGGAGTTTTTTTGGAGTCGGATTCGGAGCCAAAAAAATAAAAATTCTCGGAGTCGGAGTCGGAGTCAAAAAAAGTTGACTCCGCAGGTCCCTAACTCACACCCACACGTATTGGCATGTTGTTCCGAGCAGTACAGATTTTATACAGAGAAAATACAAAACAGAAATGGGAAAGAATATAAAGATCAAGAAAAACTTTGTCATTTGTTCCTAATGATTGATGATAGAGAAAAAGTCAGTAGTACATATCAACGAAGTGTATTGAAAGACGAAGAGACGGAAGAAAAAAGAATTACATAAAATAAAAGGTAAAGAAAAGACTGACGTATTTCGGTAAGAGTCGATCATATTGTTGACTTAATCACCGTTTTACAGTGTTTTTTGCTGCCTGGGTTAATGTTAATATTTTTTTGCCATCATCGTTTACTACCGTTGTTGTTGATTTGGTTTTAGTCATACCATTGAATATTGTCATCCGTTTTCGTGGAGTACTGGCTTGAGCTCGTTTTTCTCGTTCAGCAATTTCGTTAAGATGTGCTTGCATTTCGTTGTCTAATGTATTCACTGCCGGATCATTATACCAATAGGTAAACATTGAATAGTTTTCACTCGATGAAAATAAATCCATTGAAGGAAAAATAAGATCAACGACTTCGTGTAAGTTCCTATAGCTAAACAAAATCTTAATAGTAAACTGCGAAATTACGAAAAGAAATACATACGTAGACATCATAGATTGGGGTAATGACTCTCGAGTAATATTACTATCAGAATTAATTGTAAAAATGCGAGTCTGTGGTATTTTGATTCTCGTATACGCTATATGATCCTATTAAAATGAAAAAGTGTATTTTGTTAAACGATTTTCTAGTGAGCATGCAAATCAGTGTACTACTCGCTAATT